CTAAGTCTACAGGGATTCTGTTATATCCCTGGAGTTTATATTTTAATGGAGGGGAGAAGCAAATGAGTAATTAAAGCTATCATTTCATATAAGGATGATGCCATGAAAGACTGGCATGGTAAAGGAATAGAGTAACTGAGGGTGGGGAATGTTTTTAGGTATGAGAGCGGAGGCTTGAATAAGCAATAGTCTTCAAAGAGACTTCCCAGTCTTACTCTCATTCACCTCAAATCCACTATCTACCCTGATTCAAGAATATTCTTTCTAGGGGCACTTGGGTGGCTCAGTCAGTTAAGCATCTGGCTTGGTTTCAGCTCAGGTCATGATCTCATGGTTCATGGATTCCAGCCCCACATCGGACTCTGGGCTGACAGTGAGGAGCTTGCTTGGGATGTTCTCTCTCTCTCCCTCTTTGTCTGCCCCTCCCCTACTCGTGCTCTGTCTCTCTCAAAAATAAATAAATAAACATGAAAAAATATTTTAAGAATATTCTTTCTAAAATGTAAATTCGATCTTATTATCCCTCTGCTTAACAGCTTTTGATAAATCCCCACTGCTTATAAGAGATAAACTCCTTACCACAACAAATGACCTTTCCTGGTCTGGGACTCTGTCTTCCTCTCCAGGTACATCTCAATCACTCAAAGATTTGAAGGCCTACTTCTAAGTGTGAAGGACCTAGTGAGAATATGGCAGACAAAAATCTGAACACTCATGGAACTTCTTATAAGTATGGGAGATATGTAATAAATAAATATGCAGATAAGAAAACAAGAATTTTGGATAATAAGTGATATCAAGAAAATAAAATTGTAAAGTGATGAGTAAATAAAATGGTCAGAGACAGTCTCCTAGGAGAAATGATCTCTGTGGTGATGTCAGAATGATGAGAAAGAGGTAAGATCTCAGATAAGAGAATTCCAGATTGAGGGAGCAACAAGTGCAAAGCTGCTTCTAATAAAAGTAGGAGCCAGGGGAATGTTCAAGAAACAGAGAGAGCAGGCCAGTGTGGGTGGAGCACAGACTAGGAGGGTAGTCAGAGAGAAGGTGAGAGTTAGGTAGAATCAGAACCCTTGGGTGTGGTGCCTTCCCTATTTTACCCCCTGAATTTCAAAGTACCTTTGATTCTCCAGACACCCCATACCCTTACACCTCCTGTTTTTTGTCCATGATTTGCTCTTCCTACTTAGAAAACTTCTACTCATGGGGTGCCTGGATGGCTCGATTGGTTAAGTGTCCATCTTTGGCTCAGGTCATGACCTCACAGTTCATGAGTTCAAGGCCCGTATCAGGCTTTCCACTGACAGACCAGAGCCTGCTTTTGATTCTCTGTCTCCCTCTTTATCTGCTCCTCCTCCACTCCCTCTCTCTTTCAAAATAAGCAAACAAACATCAATATATTTTCTACAAGGGACCAAACAAATATTCAATTACTCCACTGCTTACTTACTACAGGAATAAGTCCTATGAAGGAAAAATACGGAGTGCCCTGATAACACTTAAAGGAGACCCTGCCTAGAGTAAAGGTCAGGAAAGGCTTGAGAAATGACAACAGAGCTGAGCTCTGAAGGGTAGGTAATAACAAACGAGGAGAGTGAACACTACTGACAAAATGTTTTACATGTTCAAAGGTTGCCAGGATGAAGCATGATGCATTAAACGCTAGTACAGCTGAAAAACAAAGGGATAAGATCACAAGAGGAAAGAAGCATCATTAATTCATAGCATGGTAGATAGAAGACAATCCAGAATACTCATCTTAAGAAGTAGCACATATTACAATATTCACTTAGCTGTGATTTATGTTTGTTTTACCTCTGTCAACAATAAAAAGAGAAATGGAGGAAAAACACAAATAGCAATATAATAAATGAGTTGCCTTAAACCTCTCTAACACATTGTACCATTCCATGGCTCTTAATATATTTGTGTCATAAGTAATTGGTAAGAACCATTAACACAAGTATCAAGGACTACAATAAAAGATATTTTTGGTGGTGTGGGACCACAGTCATTTATATACTTGTATTATGAGACCGTAAATTCCTTGGGGCTGGTGTTCTTATTCATTTTCACATTCAGCTCTGCAGCCAGCACATTGCCTTACTCCCTGTAAGTCCTCAAACAGTTACGGAGTGAATCTCAGTTCACCTGCATGACTCATAGTTTATGTTACTAATCGGCACACACCCTGATCTAAGGTTAGCTTTAAGGAGTCTCCCCGAGAGACACAGGGATTGAAGGAACAAAACACCTCTGATTTTGTAGAACAAAAGGATTTAAAACAACCAAAATGGAGGAGATATCATATAGTTACTGTCAGATACAGGCTAAACACACCACTGATTAAATATACTGAAAAATACTTTAATCTGAAGAATATGAAGAAAAGTCAAGGCCTGTAAAAAAGTCAATAAACACTGAGCATCTAAAGGAGAGGAAAAAAGAAAAACAAAAAGAAAGTTCAAAGTTTTAGACTTCCTGACAACAACAGGAAAACAATGTTTCTGTGGCTGTGACGACAGAAATGCACGGTGACCGCAGGAGAAACGGTGAGTCGGGAGGAGGTGCTGTCCGGGTCTGGAATGCACAGTACATTGTGCCAGGGTCCTATCTGTCAATCCCTCTCTAAGAAATGAGCTCGGAGCTGTGCCCACTCACTCCCGTGCTGTATCTCAGCTCTTTGTTGGGAAGCTTGTAGATCTGCCAGCATTATGTGCTACAGTGGCTTCGCAGGGCCCAGGGAACTTTAAGACTCCATTATCTTAAGGTGAAAGAAGCACAAAGCTTTGTGTGGGCTTTTTTTTTTTTTTTAAAATATCTAGTATTTCAGTTCCTACAAGAAAAGTTTCCAAAACTCATGATGAAAGAATTATGAACATCTCAAAAAAGGATAGCCAAAAAGAAAACTCAAAATTAATTGTCTGAGGAAGAAATCTTATCCTTCCAAAATGGCAACAACACCAGTAAGGGAAGTGAATGGTCTTGGATGGTCTTGGAATCTGACTCCTCTGTTTCTCCTAAAAATGAGGTATGCTTCTACTGCCAGATAAAAACTTTGCATCCTAATATTTTTACCTTCCTGTCATGAATGACCTGGAACCTAGGTTCTTTTATTTTTAATTTTTTTAAATAGTTTATTTTTGAGACAGAGAGAGAGACAGAGCATGTGCAGAAGAGGGGCAGAGAGAGAGGGAGACACAGAATCTGAAACAGGTTCCAGGCTCTGAGCTGCCAACACAGAGCCCGATGTGAGGCTCGAAACCACGAACCACAAGATCATGACCTGAACCGAAGTCGGATGCTTAACTGACTGAGCCATCAGGCACCCCTGGAATCTAGGTTCTGATAAAAGCAATCTCTGTGGCCAATGATCTAATCTCCAAATCCAACAAAACAGGACACTTCCAATCAGTTGTTTCCCTAGGAACATTCTCCTGCCTCAACTTCCATACCACTCACTTCCCAGGTATGTTTGACCTGTCATGCTAGGTTTTTGCTTTCTGACTCCCTTTTAGTAGGGGGTGGGGCGGGGGTGTGTGTGGAGGGGTGGATACTCATTGTCCAAATCCTCAGTTTTCTTTTCTTTTATCCATATAATCTCTACCTGAGAACACACCTACTTTTCTAGACTTTATTTATGTCAAGAGTTCTCAACTGGGAGCGATTCTTCCGCCCAGGGGACATTGGGCAATGTCTGGAGATGTTTTTGGTTTCCAAAACCAGGGGATGAGGGTGCTATTGGTACCTGGCAGGCAGAGGTCAGGGATGCTGCTAAACACCCTACAATGCCCAGGAGAGTCCCAACAACAAAGAAACATCTGGCCCAAAATGTCAATGGTGCCACTATTTAGAAACCCTGATCTACACTGATGACTTTAATTCCTTTATTCTTTAATCTGACAAATGTATTACCTATTTAAGCCTCACTGTGCCCAATGCACTGGGTGAGAGGCTGGGGGAAGGTTCAGAGGGACTATAGATGCAGGCATCAATCTGAGATGCATTATACCCTCAAAGAAAGAGCTCCTATCTGCAGGAAATGAGCCATGCTTCAGTATAAACCAGACAAATGTTCTAACCACCTTTGGGGTATCTCCATATCCCTGTGTCTCAAACCAAACACTTTATCATATTCCCTTCTACCTACCCTCATCACCACCTAACTCGTTTCTCCTTTTATGTTCTCTATAATTTCCAAACATCATTGGTAAATTAAAACTTCTTCCTCTTGCCCAATACTGAATTAGAGGCTAAGTCCTTGTGAATTCCCCCTGATTATGTTTCTCACATTTATCCCTTCCCTTATATCTACCACTTTTCCTCCCCACTGCACCATCCTCAAGATGCCCTTTGGAGTCTAATGCTTTGTAACAAAGAAATATTTTATAGAGTTTTGTTGTTGTTGTTACTGTTTTTATTTTTTTATTATTTTCTTTTATTATTTTATTTGAAAGAGAAAGAGTGGGAGGGGGGCAAAGAGGGGGAGAGAGAGAGGTACCTTTGTTAGGATAATAGAAGCTGAAATATCATAAGTATTCACTATACGGTAGCCATTATGATATTATCATTATGTTTATACACACTTCCTATGCTGTTGGTACTTAAATATTAAATTTGGAACAGACTGAAAAAAATAAACCATAATTAGAGAATTGTGTTTATGAAATTTGTTAGACTCTCCTGAATCTTTTTAGGTATAAGCTAATTTTTAAGATATCAATCCATGCTTATTTGAAAAACTAACTCATATCAAAAGAAAGGAATGGAGAATTGTAATGACAGTAACAATATTTTTTATTGTTATTATTTAATAGAAGTCAATCCCAAATAACACGCAGGGAGTATACTTTAAAACGTAGGACGACTTCCATCCCTCTGAACCAAGCAAAACTCTTAATTCACAAATTTAAAACTCCTCAAAAAGGTTTCACAGCAGTGCATTCACTGTGGTATGAACCCAGCAACAGAATGCTTATCGAATCGAACAATGAACTTACTTGTTCCACGTAATAAAAGTTGCTCTCTGTGTTGAAATGCCAAGACCAACAATTTGATTCATCTCTATTCCTGCAGCTAAAAATAAAGATAGGTAAAACACATGTGTAAAAGCCAGTGAAGTTTTCTCTATAATATTGTAGGATGATAAATAAATCATTCAATATAATCTTTAAGAAAAACATCTGGGTTTAGCATTTAGTAGTATAACGGAGCTAATAAAGAAAGCATTACTAAGATGATTTTGTAGTAAATTTTTACTTAAAAGGAAAAAGGTCGTATTCGAATAATTAAAAAATGGGTTTTTGCTTTAAATGTTAGGAAAAAATAAACAATACTCAAGGTAAGTCAGATTGTATTTTCTTCTTGTAAGACTAAAAGACTGGATCTTAATTCAAGCAATGATCAAATTAATAAAGGAAACCCTCTCTAAAACACAGTCAGGGCCATACCCCTGGGTCAATTACAGGAAGACCTATCAGTTAAAGACCCCAAGAGAAGAATCTTCAGCAGAAAAGAATCAACAATCACAGGTCCTAATAGGAAAAGATGTACACTGCATCTTCTATAACAAATCTACTACCCCAGCCAATGAGAAACCATCATCACCCCAAACTTTGCTTGTCTCTCAATGGACCACAGTTCAAAACAATCCTTCCCAATTTCTTTCTCCTTCTTGACAAAATAACATTCCTCTCTTTTGTTTGTTGGACTAGCCTGTGGTTTTTGCCATAGCTTGCTTGACCCAAATTGCAATTCTGCTATTCCTGAATAAACCCCTTTCTGCCGGTAAAACAACTTATTTTTAAGATCAATACACCATAATAGGAGCTGGTTGATGACAATAAAGGAAAATCTTCAGGGAAAGTATTGTAATTACTGAAGCTCAGATCTTATTTTCTATACAGATGTTAAAATGCACGTAAAACATGGGTTTTTTTGGTTCATATTTCTTAAAATCAGCTACTCATGTATTTTTTGTGATGTTCTTTTAAAAGAGCAATTTATTCCACTAGGAAAAACAGGGACAACCTCAGTTTCAGCACTGAGGAAAACACATCACCCCTGTACAGTGCTACTCTCAAAACTATTTAACCTGAAGCTAATTATGAGGAAATAAATCAGGACAACCCTATAATGTAGGACTGTCTAATAAACTGGCCTGTACTTCTGAAAACTGTCAGTGTCATAAAGAACATGCTCTAGATTAAAAGAGGCTAGGTAGACTGACTGCTATATGCAATGCATCATCTTTGGCTGGATTCCAGACTGGAAAAAAAGCTATTAATGACTGAGATAAGAGAGGAATATTGAAGATGAAGCATTAGAAAATATTACTATATTAATGTTAATTTCCTCTGAGATAAGTGCACTGTAGTTATACAGAATTCTCCTTTCTTTGGAGATAATGCTCAAATTTAGGGAGAACAAGTTATTATGTCAGAACCAATGTTCAGACTGGTCAAATGAAAGAGTCTGCAAAGGATGGTAAACACTACTAAACATATTTGAATCTGGGAGGAAGGTATACAGATACTCCATGTATTACTATTTTTGCAACTTTTTAAAATAAGTTTTGATGTATTTCAAATCAAAAAGGTCAGAAGGAGATGCAATTCAACCACAAAAATGAAGTAAAAGATCTTTTAGAATTCACATTTACAAGTCATCTTTGACCATGTTCTTAAAGAAAGTTGCACTGAAAATGTTCTTAAAGAGCTAAGATTTCCAACTGCGGCTATGGCCAGAACAGCGCTTTGCATCAAGAGGCCACACAGAAAAACAAAAACGGGGGCATCTGGGTGGCTCTGTTGGTTAAGCATCTGACTTCAGCTCAGGTCATGATCTCATAGCTTGTAAGTTCGAGCCCCTCATCGGGCTCTGTGCTAACAGCTGAGAGCCTGGAGCCTGCTTCAGATTCTGTGTCTCCCTCTCTCTCTCTTCCCCTCCCAGGCCCATGCTCTGTCTCTCTCTGACTCAAATATAAATAAACATTAAAAAAAAAATTAAAAACAAAAACTTGACAATAAAGGTAATTCAAGTGTAAATTCCTAAGAGCAGGAACTGTGTATCAGGTATAACTTTGTTAATAACCCTCTGGTATTTTGTACACAACAGGAAATCAAATGAGCACTAGCTACAACTTGGAATGAAGAAGGAAGGTGAGCCTTTATACTGCAGTTGAAAGAAGAATTAAGCCAGAGGAGAGAGTTGCTGTTATTTTTCCTTGATAAAGTGGTTAACAGTAAACCACAAATGTCTGCGGGAAAAAACTGGAAATTGTGACCTCAGTAAAATACTATTTGTATAATTATAACTTAGGAAACCCACAATTCTAAACACTGAGGGAAACTCTTACTAACACAAAATATACTTTATTATTTTTATATGTCTAATTACCTTTAACAGACTCTTTTATTACAGTAACAAACTGAAGCCAGAGAACATCCGGATCAATTTCAACCCAGCCAGTTTGAGGACAAAGACTTTCCACCTATTTAGAAAAAGAGAAAATTTAGTAAAAACAACATTAAAGCAAGTCAATAATATCTGAGTCTTAAAATTATCAGTTAAAATGATTAACATGATTTTATTATCTAATTCATTTTTATTGTTAAAATGCAAAATAGGAAATAAAAAGTTTTCTTTTGTTCATGAGTTTACAGAAAATTTTAGCAGTCTTTGTCTTTACTTTCCAAATTTATTTTTATTTTCCAAGTTTTCTAGAATGGATATGTACTATTTATGTAATAAGAAAAATATTTTTAAAAAAATAAAAATTAACAAATCAAGTACCAGGTTGTTGCTCAGACTATGATGAAGGAAGTGCACTCCATCCCGTCTCTCCCACTGAATGCACGGAGCAGCTGTTTGGGGTAAGTTCTACAGCTGAACTGGTGGTTAAGTCACCCATTTTTTCCCCTGACCTCCCCTAACCTGTACCCAAGGCAGCCCACAAAATCAGAAGTGAGTACCAGGGCACATTGGGAACTCCAGGAGAAGCTCTCATGTTTTGGCTAATACTCAGAGAGAACAGGAGAAGTCTCCCATATTTTTATTTTTCCCCACGTTGCCTCCATATTTTTGTACCCAGGCTATCTTGTGGTAGTGGTTGCACCAGTAATCACAAGCACCTAAAACACTGAAGGAGGTAAAACTTTCTCTCCAACCAGAGGAGCTGTGGCCCAAGATCCCCATGGCTTTTTTTCTCTCTGTGTGCTTCCTGATGTGTAGCGCAGCTGTGGGCATAGAAGTGCCAGCAAAGTAGGGTAATGAAAGCTCCAGCTTTCTGGCAAGAGGAGCCAAAACAGGAACCAAAAGTCCCAGGAAGATCTCAGAGAGGGAGGAGCTTGGGAAAGCTGCTCCAGAAAGCTGTGAATGAATCCTGAGGCTCACCTCAAAGCTCCGCATGTGTGAATGTAATCCTAACCAGCATAGTAAAGATGTTAAGAACAGAATTAAGGGAGAGACCACTACTCAGGTGCTAGACTGACTACTGGGTGGCACATACACAGGGTAGATACAAATAGTACCGCCAAGATTTTGGAAATAACCAACAGTAAAACCAAAGTCCACAGAAGGCTGGTGGAACATGTAGCCTGCACCCAACTACATTCATTGCCCGGTAAAAGAAAAATATCAGGGCGCCTGGGTGGCTTAGTCGGTTAAGCATCCGACTTTCGCTTAGGTCATGATCTCGCAGTGTGGGTTCGAGCCCCGCGTCGGGCTCTGTGCTGACTGCCAGCTCAGAGCCTGGAGCCTGTTTCAGAGTCTGTGTCTCCCTCTCTCTGACCCTCCCCTGCTCACACTCTCTCTCTCTCTCTCTGTCTCTCCTAGAAATAAATAAAAATAAAAAAATTAAAAAAAAAGAAAAATATCAACATTCATCATAGGACTTCCACAAAACCCAGAGTCTTATACCACAATATTCAAAATGTCCATGAAACTATCTGAAAGTTATAAGGTGTGTGAAGAACCAGAAAAAAATCTCACCTCACATGGGAAAAGATAATAGATACTAATGCCAGGGTGACAGATATCAGATCAAGACTTCAAAGCAGCAATTACAAAAAATGTTCCAAGAAGAAAGGGCAAATTATATTGAAACAAATGCCAAGATAAAAATCTCAGCCAAGAAACATTAAGACAAAAAAAAAAAAAGAAATATTAGAACTGAAAAATACAATAATTAGGGGAATGGGGGAAAAAGAAAGATGGTGGTCAAAGGGTACACACTTTCGGATATAAGATGAGTAAGTTCTGGAGACCTGACATACAGCATGGTAACTCTAGTTAATAATAACATACTGTACACTTGAAATTGCTAAGAGAGCAGTTCTGAAGTGCTCTCAACATACATGCACATGCACAAATAGTGACTATGTGAGTTAATGGGTATGTTAGCTTAATTGCAGTAATCATTTCATAATGTATATGTATACCAAAACACTTTACATATATACAACTTTTATCTGTCAATCACACCTCAATAAAGCTGGTAAAATTAATTTTAAAAAATAAAAATACAATAATTAAAATAGGGGCGCCTGGGTGGCTCACTCAGTTGAGAACCCAACTCTTGATTTCAGTTCAGGCAATGATCCCAGGGTCTTGGGATTGAGCACCTCATCGGGCTCTGCACTGAATATGAAGCCTGCTTAAGATTCTCTCTCTCTCCCTATGCTCCTCAGCCACTCATGCTTTCTCTAAAAAATAATAAATGAAAAAAAAATTTAAATCCTGGATGGCCTCAATAGTAGAATAAAGGTAACGAAGTCAGTAAATCAAAGACAGATCAACAGAAATTATCTGACATAAATATCAGAAAGGAAATATATTGGAAAAAATTAGAATAAAGGCTAAGGGATCTACGAGACAAGAACAAAAGATTTGGTATTTATGTCATCAGAGCCCTCCAAGAAGAAAATAAAGAGTTCAGTGCAAATAAAATAAAAATGACTTCAGGGAAGTAATAGTGCTAAAAATTTCCCAAGTTCAGTGGAAGATTTAAAGTCTATATATTCAAGGGGGGCCTGAGAGCCTCAGTTGGTTGAGCGTCGGACTCTTCATTTCAACTCAGGTCATGATCCCGGGGGGTTGTAGGATCAATCCCTGAGTCAGGCTTCATGCTGAGCCTGGAGCCTGCTTAAGATTTTCATTTTCATTTTCTCTCTCTGTCTCTCTCCTCTGCAAGGTTTATGCAGAAGGACAATGAGAAGAGAGCAAACAGGCTCAGACCTAGGTTTTATCAAATGTTTTTAATAATAACAGTGAGTGTGTGGGCAGCACATGGCTAAACAGAACAGAAAGCTGATACTTCACTCCCTACTCAGATTGCACCAAATCTTTGTTCAACCCCCGGCGGAGATTCCATGGTAAATTAGAGGTACCTGCCAAATGAGGTTGAACATACAAGATTGCTTCAAAGGCTTTATAAGGATCCCCAATCCCCTCCTCCAGTCCCATCACCCCTTCCTAACCAAGCAGAAGGTAACAGGTTTACTCTCCAGAGGGACTGAACCAGAAGAGTTCTTTCCCTGCAAATACCAGATATAGCTGAGTGGGGTAAGACTACTGAGTGCTACTGAAAATATGAACGAATAGCCAACCAAAGATCTAACATGTAAGAAAAGGCCAAAATAAAGAGGAAACAGTGGCTATGCGGGGAGCATGAAAATGACAATGTCTGATATGAAAAAAGAATCTACTACTCCCCAGTGAGTTCTGAGACAGATTTAACAAAACCTATTCCCCTTCTCTCTAATACTTGCTTTTTCTAGGCAAGACTTTCATGACCACAGACAAATGCCTCAGCTGCAACAAACATTTCCTCAACCAAAAAAACTCAAAGCGGGTATCACTGCATCAAGCCCACAAACCTTCAGACTTGATGGTGGCACTCCACAGTCACTTCCCCCACTCCACCAGCCCAGACAGCTCATTATCCCCAAACATGTCACAGCAGAGAAATGTCCTCCTGTACCGAAGGAAGACCACACTGAAATTAGACAAGAGTATAACCAAAGCTAACACGATCCGTTTTGTGGGTTACAAACAATACAAAAAGACAGCAACCAGAAGTTTTCACGACTGTCCGAATGGGTACACAGTAGTAGAGGCTCTACTGTTTTCTTTGAAGTGGTCTTTCTATCCTGTTCTTCCCACTAAGACGTTATTGTTTTCCACGATTTCTCACAATAGCATGATGTTCCAGTGGGGAACATGATAAACTTTCTCCATTTCTAAAACTAGAAACATCAAGTATTGACATGTAGATTTTAAAATCTGAATACTAGTCTGTAACACCAATGTTTAAGAATCTATAGAAAGATTTGGGTTTAAAAAATTTTTTTTAATATTTAATTATTTTTGAGAGAGAGAGAGACAGAGCGTGAACAGGGGAGGGGCAGAGAGAGAGAGGGAGAGAATCCCAAGCTGACAGCCTGGAGCCTGACACTGGCCAATCCCACAAACTGCAAGATCATGACCTGACCTGAAATCAAGAGTCTGACACTCAAGTGACTGAGCCACCCAGGTGACGCAGGGACCAATAATTTTTTTTTTTCTGAAAGACACAGAAAGACACGCCTGGAACAACAATTTTTAAAGACACAATTACAACAATTTTCTAAGATCAGCTGGGTGGCTCAGTCAGTTGAGCGTAGGACTTTGGCTCAGGTCACGATCTCACAGTCCTTGAGTTTGAGCCCCAAGTTGGGCTCTGTGCTGACAGCTCAGAGCATGGAGCCTACTTCAGATTCTGTGTCTCCCTCTCTCTCTTCCCCTCCCCCACTGGCAGTGTCTCTTGAAAATTAAACATTAAAAAAAGAAAGACGCAATTAAAACAATTTTCTAGGGGTGCCTGGGTGGCTTAGTCGGTTGAGTATCTGACTTCAGCTCAGGTCATGAACTCAGAGTTTGTGAGTTTGAGCCTGGCATCGGGCTCTCTACTGTAAGCGCAGAGCCTGCTTTAGATCCTCTGTGCCCCTTTCTCTCTGTCCCTCCCCTGCTTGTGCTCTCTCTCTCTTAAAAATAAATTTAAAAATAAAAATAAAACAATTTTACAGGAAAAAATTACACACAAAATAAAACCCCAAATATTTCATTATTAAGGTCAACAGACATAAAATTACTCTACCAAACTGCTACACACGTTTCTAAATCTTAGTTTCTTTATTTCTACCTGAGATGCCCAGGAACTACACTTTAAGAAGCACTGCTATAAAGTCCCACTACAGCTGGAGGTGCATTGCTAAAAACTCTTTAAGCTAAGTGTTTCATCGTTTAGGGCAGGGACCTTTTGTATATTTATTAATCCACATGTCTTTCCAGACACTTAACAGTACAGAGTCTGAGCAAACCATTCTTTGCTCCGGCTACTCACAGAAACCTTGATTCAACTATGAGATTCCTATCTCATTTCTAAAAAGTTAATCATAAAACAGCAACTGAAACTTTGTATTTTCTGACAATCTGTGTCTTCCTTTGGTTCCAAATACTTCCATTCCTTACACACACACACACACCACCACCACCACCAAACAAACAAAAAACCCACGACTGCCTAAAACAAAAGTATTTTATGTCTACAATTATGAGGGAGACTGAGTGAAAAGTATCATTGTGTTGTGATAAAGACTCATAAAAAGATAAGATATATAGTCACTGAAAGGCAGTGTTCTTTCAGGTTGGAGGAGGGTTGGTGCGTGTAGGTCTCTGCACAGGTAGCCAGAGTAGGGCCCAGCAAGGGACTGGGCTCCCAGCTCTCTGTCCTGGTCCTGAGCCCAGAATGAAATTCCCCTCTTTGCTAAAAGCAGTCACTTGGCTAGAGCTACTCCTGGCAAATGCTATGGGTGAAAACCACTGCTAAGGGGTTGGGAAGAAGAGTGGGAACTGAGCAAATGGGAGAATCCAAGACTGTTGGGAATGGTTTAGGTAACTAATGGCTCCTAACATGGCTAAGCGCAAGAACACCATAGCCAATCAGTATTATTCTGGTGCACTCGTAGAAATTAACACTGCATTAAAATAAGAACGGGAGAACACCAATCTATTGGTTGCTTTACTAATAACAAGATTTGGTAGGTTTCTCAAATCAGAAAAAGCTATTTTTATCAGTGCTCAAAGATGGAAAAGATACAAGGAATGACAATATAGCCTTTAAAACTTATCGGATACCTCCTATATCCATGAAAATCAGTTGCTCGGGTGAACAACCAGCACCCTGGAAAGGAGTTAATAATGAAACTGAAGAATGGACAACAATGTAATGTAAATAAAGACGGGACTGGAGATCTACCGAGGAACTGGGAAAAACCTAGCAAGTCACAAAGAAACCTTTTAGTTGGATAAGCGTGGAGTGCCCTGCCTGGCCATGCCCTACGAGTCTCCGCAGTCCCACCCAGGAAAGGCGAATCAGCAGGTGACAGAAGCGAGCCAACGACCTGGTCACAAACCCGGCTCCTCCAGCCCTCAGCCAGGACAGGAAGGAAGGGCGCGCAAGTGTCAGCCCTGCCCGTGGAGGCAATCTGTGTGTCTGGCCGCTCTCGGTCCGCCGGTCAGGGCCAAGGTCCCGCGGGTGCTACAGGTGGCTGCGTCCAGCTGGATACGGCTGCCCCGCCCGCTCGCCTCCCGCGACTCGATCCCGCCTGCTCTGCGCGACCCTGACTCGTGGCCCCGAAGCCCGCTCCCCCGTCACCTTCTGCGCGCTGGAGCCGCGGATCAGCGCCGCGTGGTCATAGACGTGGCAGCGGATCACCGAGCTGCCCACGTCCAGCCCTAGCACGAAGCCTGCGCGAGGCGGGACTGGCGCGCTCTGCTCCGGGCGCCTCTGCTCTGAGACCGCACGCACACCGACCATCCCGACCCCGCAAACTTCTCCGCGACAACCGCCTACGGAGCGGGAACGTTTATAAAGGCCCGCACCTCAGGGACCGAGCGCGCCCCGCAGGGCCACCGCCTCCTGCCCGCCCCACCGCGAGATCCGGGAAGCGGCCCGCCCCTGCCGCGGCCCCGCCCCGACGCCGTGACGTCACGGCTGCGCAGAGACCCTTTCGGAGCCTGTGCTGAGGCCGGGCGGTCGCTAGGGGCGCGTGGAGGTGAGCGAGTTCTTGGAGGCGGTCCTTGGCGTTTCCTTTTCCCAAAGTTACAATTTATGAATATCTATTTAAAAAAATAAAGTGACCTGTAAAGAAATTAAAAATTCAGCCCGAAGTATATATTAACAAACAGAGCCCCCAGCTCTCCCAAGAAAACCTGGTAAAACTTGTGCATGTAATACACATCAATAAATACTTATAAGTGAAATAACACGCAATGAGTAAGACCTTCTCCAGCCCTCTGGTGAGGAAGACATGACAAAGTGTTGGGTGGCCACTGTTAATCAAGCCCCACCCTCCACCCTCCAGCAGTCACTTTTTCAGCCAGAAGAGCCCATGGCAGTCGCAGAAAGGAGGCCTATGTAAATTTTGAGATTCCTGTAGCTTTATTTCCCAGGGGGTGGTCCAGCTCCCAAGGTGCAGCCCTCCTCTGTAGGCAGCAGGGAGGTGTTACTGCCTACTTCAGCAGCCTCTCCACTACCACCAGCATTCCGAAAAACCAGTGCCTGAAAATATTCACTATCTTCTTTTTGTAAAATTATGAAAGTAATATGCATACATACTTTTTTGAAAAATTTTAACAGTGCAATTAGAAAGTAAAGGATCTTCATTTTTAACCAAATTGTCCTTTTGACTAAACCGTCATATTAACCAACTTGCTTTCAGCCAAGTTTACCAAACTGGGCTCTTTGGCCTTATTACTTGAAGCTTGCAACATACTTCAAATATGTTGAGTTCAATATACTCAAAAGAGTATATTCTTTTCACTCTGTACCTTGTTTCTATCCAGTAGTACTCATTTATCCCAAATGGCCTCAGGCTTGCTTTCACCAGTGGTGAACTGAAGAATTCTGGTGAGTCATATATATGTTAATCCTCAGTATTGTAACTTGAAATAAATGACTAATGGATTGTGTACTGATCAGAGTTTCCCAGAGAAACAGACTCAGTAGAATAGAGAGAGAGAGGAAGAGAAAGAAGAATTAAGAAATTGGCTCACATGCTTTTATGGCTGGAAAGTTCAGACATCTGTAGGGCAGACTGAAAATCTAGAAATTCAGGTAAGAGTAAACATTAAAATCTTGAGTCTGAATTCTACAGACTACAGAATCATATATTCCAATTTGTCTTCAGATCACATAAATCTTTCGCCTTTTATAAATTCAAATCCGTTATCCAGAGTATTATCAAAGAATCATAGAATGTGAAAACAAGGACTTTAGCAACTACTTAGTCTAGTGTTTCTTAATCTGTTTCTACTCTTGAGCAACTTTGAGACCCTGATGGATGCTATCTTCTGAGAATATGCTTATATATATACATAATTTGGCATGTAATTTCAGGTGTTGGGTATGAGATAAACTAAACATGAAGCTCTCAGGTTAAAAATCCAGAGCTGGTTTCCCTAACCCAGACAGACTATTGCCCAAGGGAGGGCTGAGCAACAAAGGGATACTGTGTTTCTTCCATGTTCATTGTTCTCTGCTGGCATCTCTTAACCCAGCTCTGCTCTCAGGGTAAGGAGCCTGTGGGCTATAGGGCAGCAGGTTCACAAACTCTGAAGGTCCCTTTGCTAGTGGGCCAGTCCATTGTTCTTGATTCAGAGGCCACTACTCTCTGAGCTCCGCTACCTGGAGGCCCTGGACTTTATCGGGCTCCTCACATTCTGGGCTTGGCCTCACAAGTGGCCCAGGAGGCTGCTCTCCCAGGCTCTTCCCCACCACTGTCACTCCTTGCACTTTTTCTTCTTACACCAGAGCCCAGGATTACCACGCACTGTATCACACACTCCCAGGAACTTGGAGTCACTTCCTCAAGAATAGATCCGAAAGTACTCAAGGGCCACCACACCCTAAAGGGAAATGAATGGTGCTTCAAGGCTGAACCCAGAAACCTCAATGCTGTCCTGCCTCTAAGAAAACTAGTCACAGTCCCTCCCTGCTAGGGTGACCAACTGACCCAGTGTGCCCTAGACTAGGGAACTTCTTAAAACATAGGATTTGAAATGCTAAAACCAGGACAGTCCACCTCACTGTCAGAGGCTCTTGGGGTCCACAGCTGATTTTTGGGGGGACACTGGCTACTCATGTGTAGATGTTAGCCACTGCTTCTAGACATGAGCTCCTTGAGGAAAGAGATGGGGACTTAGTCTTCATTTTTCCTCCAAAACACACAAAGTAACTGCTCGATGACTGAATGAACAAACAAATAAATTAGTGTGTTCAAGTCCCTGTCAGACTCATCTTCTGTGTGACTTGGCCACAAGACAGAGAAGTGAGCCCTTCGTAATCCCTATGAATCTGGGCATGTTATCATATGGCCACCAATGCAGGCTTTCTACTGTGTAAGGAAGGTGTGGAGTTGTGCAGGCTGCCGTAAGTCCTGTATCTGGAACTGAGCCCTGGATGCCCTCGTGAATATCAAGTCAGCTCCTTTTCTTATCCTTTATTTTATGTGCCTAGTCTCATTTGGATTGGACTCCTGCCTCACTTTCCTGATCTGCATTCACTCTTGTGTCCCAAGTCCTAGCCTTAACACCACTATGGGACAGAGATAAACATACCATGAAGTTCATGAAGCTGATGCTTCATGTCCCCTCCTTGAAGGGGTCCCTGCCAAGGTCCTGAGCAGAGACTTAGCTAGCTTTTCAGAGTTCCATGCTGTATAGCATTTGCAAAAGTAAATTATTTTGTTTTTTTTTTCTTCAAGAAGGCCCCTCAGTTTTACAAACTTCAGATCTCACAAAACCATAATCTTCCAACCCTTGCAAGTCCTCAGAAATTCCCTCTTTCTCAGCATCTGGACTCACTCTTCCCAACCCCCAGGTGGTGGTGCAGAAAACTGCCTCGCACCTACTCTGAGTACCACCACCCTGACTCACTGTTCTGAACTCCTTGAATACTGACAGTGAGATCGAGTCTGTTCTCCCTACACAAGTCTGAGAGATCATGGTGGTAAGCACTGGCTTCCCTCCTGAGGGCCAGATTAATCCAGTGCTGCCCATACCTCACCAGTGCTCTGCTGAGGTCCTTGCTTGCCTTGCTGTTGAGCCCAATCACACCCTGACACAGTCAAACCAGAAGGAATGAGAACCGAGAACTTCAAAATCTCCGGCCTGATGCCCATCAAGATATGAAAATAAAAGAGGACTTTGGGCTCCACCAAAATCAAGGGGAAGTAGAAATTGAAAGGAAGAATAACTTTACTTAAAAAAACCCGGACTAGAGGAAATTACTTGAGAATCCAAACAAATAAAACCACAGTCACATGCATCCTAGCAAACAAGCATAAAGGAAAATGTGAAATCTGTCAGAAAGAGAGAAGTCACATGAGTAACTGCCGTGCCCGTCACTGCACTTATACATGTGTAATTAGTCCTGCGTGTTCTCTCACTAAATTCTCTCCAGAACCCAGGAAGAGCCACTGGGCACTTGCACAGTTAGTCCATGATGAACGCGGGATTTTTCCCCCCATACCATGCTTCTTCAGTGCACCTGAAACATCAACTCTTTCCAGAGGTCAGCAATGAGAACTACTCCTTCACCTGGTAGGTATGTCTGTACAAATCCCACAGCATCGTTGCCATGATATGTGGAAGCCTTCTTCCAGCCTTCAGAGAGGGAAGCGAACAGGTACCCGGTCTGGCTAAACCTTGAGGGGACTCTGCAGAAATAGTGGCCTCTTTTCACGGCTGAGCCACTGGAGGCTTAGAAAGGGTTACCATCTAATCTAAAGGAAACCATAGTCACACCTGCCATAATTGCCCAGGTATCTTGCCCATCTCCATGCTCTTAAGAGGCATCCCGTGTCAGAAACATGAGCGGGCCCATTCTTCCACGTCTTAAATTCTCCCCACCTGAAGTGTATTAAGTGACAGGAAATCTTTTTATTCACTCACTTATCTGTGTATGTTGTGAGAAGGGAAAGAGCTTTATAATGCACAGGTTTAGGAACATGCCTTTTGTGTTTATGATCATCCGGTGTCTGGAAAGTTCTAAAGAGAGGGCTTTACTTAAGAGGAATATTCTACCTCCCCTTCTGATTTCAATCATCCTGTTTTGCTCATGGTCTAAAGCCTTTTATTCAACTATGGACATTATCAAATCTCCAGTGAATGAGTTCTGTGAGTTAAGATGAAAACCACATTAGAGAATGGCTAAAAATTTTTTTAAATTCATAGATACAAATAAAACTTTGTATTTTGAGGAAAAATTTAGAAGTTTTGTATAAGGCAATTAAAAATCCAAAGTAAAGAATGGTCCTGCAGAAGAAAATGTGGGAAATTACTGCTGAGTTATTCAGTAATAAAGATTTCTATCTCTGCTCTTTGGCTAAGAAGCCAAAATAAAAAAGGAAACTTCTTCTCACATATTGCTCAGCCACTCTTGTCACTGTTTTCTTCCCTAATACCATAAGATTCTCATTTTTTAAAGCCAGGTTTATTGAGATGTACAGTTACATGAATTTTGATGTATACGTCTGTGTAACCACCACCACCACCACTGAGATAGAAAATATTTCCATCACCCATGAAAACTCCCTTTGCACACAGCACTCTGAATCCTTTACCATGAGCATAAGGTGATAGATCAGCTGCAAAAATAACTCAGAATTCTTGAATTTAGCAGATTGATCTCAATCATTTTAGGTTCAGCCCATTTCAAGAAGTTTTCAAACTGACTTTTAATCAGCGCATCCTGTGACACATGGGCAAGATGTGTTGACCTAGGGTTTTCACTAAATGACATACTTGTGTAAAGCTAGGCATAACAACTAACAATTCTGGGTTCATTTGTATGACGTGAGTAAATCCAAACTGTTTGGTATGATTGTTAGCAATGAGAACACTTTAGTAGGCATG